CCCCTCAGGAGCAGGGGGAGGTGGAGAAGCCCTCAGGGGCAATCAGGGCTGGCACTGGCACCAGCAGCCGGTGTGAGCAGGGCCGGTGCCAGCAGCGGGTGCGAGCACCGGGAGGGACCGCGGCGTGGGGGAGCAAAGAATTTTCAGTAATCACCAGAGGCTCACCCCAATGACAGCAACCGGCACCCTGCCTTGGTCTGGTGCCCCCGCTCACCTGCTCCACCATCCTGCCTCGGCTGATGCCTGCCATGTTCTGCGTGTGCCCCCTGGTGGTCAGTGCATGTCATAGCAACCAGTTGTTCGGTTGTTCCGCTGTTTGGTCTATTTGCATGTTAGGGTTTTATATAGATAGATTCTTCCCTATTATCGGCCCCTTGGCCACTTGGTAACATGTTGGGAGCTGCTGCCTGGCTGTCAGGGCAAATAGCTTCTTGGGATCAGTTTTGTGTCAGATGGTCCCTGCGGGTCTGCCAGCTGTGCAGGTGACATGACCGCATGCAGGTCATCACTCCCTGCACCATGGCCAGGGAGCCCGAGGACAACCGGAACAGGGGCTAAGCTAATGTCCCCCCAGATTATTTTAGCTTCACTATATGATGGGGAACTTTTAAGAATTTGTTCAGCAAATATGCAAAGGTTTATCTACAAATATGTTTCCAGTGAAATACTAGAAATAACCTAAACATTAAGCAATGGATTAGTTAAGGAGACTAAAACAGATCCATGTGATGGAATGGTGCTGGCCTGTAGGACGCTGGCAAAGAAATCACAATGTGGAAGAGCAGTGATGCTCCGTAATTAAGTAAACATGCCTTTGAGCCGCTGGGAGACCAATACGATTCTAGTTTTATACAAACATGAATATATATGCATAGACATGTGATAGAATAATATGATCCAACATGATAATATTGGTTTCCTTAAGTGGTGGCATTATTTATGATGATCTTTACTCCTTTGTGTTTTTCTGTATTTTCTAACATTTTTCTAATCTATATCATTGTAATAAGAAAAAACAATCAGTGTTGTTAATATGTTATCACAGGAGAACATCATGCAATGCAATGGTGGCGTGCCCTGTTTTGATCCACCGGTTTGGGGCATGCACCTTCCATCCCCCACCTTTCCATGCAACAGGCACTGAGCAAGGAAACACTGAGCCCAGATCACTTGAGTTCCTTGTTACCAAAATAAGCACTTGCTTCACGCAGGGGCTGAGAGCCTGTTGCCCTGTGTGCTGAAACCCTCCCCCCTGGCAGCCCCAGGGGGCTGTGTCTGCCCCTCCCCCGCTACCCTGCCCTTCCCCAGCCCCAGCAGGGCCCTGCGGCCACCCGTACCTGCAGGCTGCTGGCCTCCGCTGCCCACCAGGCCTCAAACTCCTTCTGCAGCTTCACCTTGGCTCTGTCCATGAGCAGCTGCAGGTGCTCGATCTCCACCTTCAGGGCCTTCAGGCGCGTGAACATGGTTTTATACCTGCAGGGGCATCAGGCAGGAGCCGTGAGAGTCTGGAAGGAGGTGGGGCTGTGGATGGGCTGTTGGCTGAGGACCTGTGCCTCTGTGGCCTCAGAGTGCTGCGCTGGTAATAGGACTGGGACCCTCATGCTGCCCACCGAGGCCAGAGTGTGGTGCCAGGTTCCCCACCCACCACAGGGAAGCAGAGCTGGGCGTTTCTGTCCCGTGGGCTTGTGGGCCTGTGTGTGAGATGAAGGTCCCGTCTCCAAGAGTGGTAACTGCCATTACTGAGCACCTGCGAGGGGCAGGCACTGCTGCAGGCCCTGGACATATACGCACTCATTGAACCCTCTGCACAGCCTTATGGATGCACACAGTTCCTCTCCACTTGGCAGATTGGAACCTCGGCTGGAGCGGTTAAGTAACTTGCTCTGTGACACAGAGCTCATAGGGAGAGCAGCCAGGATGGGGACCGGCTCTCTGTTCTAGGACCAGACTTCACGGCCTCCCGTTGAGCTGGCTCACCATCATGCCCAGGCCCCAAAGTGGCACTACCTTTGCTCGTGCGCCTGGGGGTGCTGGGCAGGCCACAGAGTCAGAGGTTGTCCAACAGGAAGTAGATGAGGATTCCTCTGCAGAGACACCCTGACTTCTGAGAGGGCCCCGTGGTTGGGAGTGTGGACCAAGGGGACAGGACGGGGGCAGCATAGACACAGAGGGAGGATTGAAAGGAACTAGAAAATACACAGAGCGTGGCAGAAAGAGGACAGCAGGGGAGTGAACCCGGGGCCTGGAGGGAGCTTTCGGAAGGTGGATGTGGCAGGAGTGACCTGCCCATTGGCTGCGTGGGATCTTGTTCTCAAGTCTCAGGAGGGTAGGGTGGCGGGGTGTGCTCGGGGTGCATGCCTAACCAGCCCGGGGGTGGCCTGTGTCACAGTGACACTTTGGGGGCAAGGAGGTGGCTTGTTTGATCTCCCCAAAATCTCTCCACGGCAGGGAGGAGACCGCAAACATTGGTTGAACGCATGAAGGAATGGATGGGATAAAGCGCTTGGCTGGAGCGTTAGCAAGAGGCCGTGACATGCTGTGTCGGTAATGGCCACATGGCTCTGTATGCTTGGGGGTGCTCCCTCTGTGACTGAAACCACCCGGGGACCCTCAATGACTGCAGGGGGGTCTGATGTTCTCAGGACGCCTTACAGATCAGGAGACAGAGGAGGGAAGTGGGCCAAGCTGCAGGTGGAAGGAAGACCCCGTGGTCATAGCTCTTGGCTCCCCTAGATGGCAGCAGTAGACAGGACTGGCTGCTCCTGCAGCCTCAGCCTCCGCCTCAGCCTGGAATAGGGGGGAGGAGGTGCCAACAGCCTCCAGCTCTCCCTTCCTCATACTCTTCCTGCTCCTCATTCCACCTCACCAGCCCGGGGTTCATGCACCACATCTGCCTGCTCAGAGGCAGCACTTCTCCGGCTGTTTCAGGACCCAACAGCTGGACCCACTTCCTAGAGAAGCTCCAGGCCTGGGCGGGCACGGCCTCTCTGCCGGCCCAGGGCAGCCCCCGGCCTCTGGGCTGGGGGT